TTTTTTTGAGACAGGGTCTCCCTGTAGCCCCAGCTTCCTGGAACTCACTATGTAGACCAGGCTGGCCTTGAACTTAAAGAGATCCGCCTGCCTCTGCCTCCTGAGTGCTGGGATTAAAGGCGTGTGCCACCACACCCGGCCTAAAATAAATACATTTTTAAAAAGATATCACAGTAAGAAATTTGAAATGATCGTTGAACATAAGAAGTATTTTGTTTTCATTAGGTCTTGGTTTCTTAGAAGCAAAGCAAGAAAAGAGGGACTCATCAAAATAAAAACATGTGCTTCACAGAACACCACGGAGAATGTGAAAAATCCTGTAAGACAGGAGAAAACATTTTTTAAAATTATTTGTGGGGCTGGAGAGATGGCTCAGTGGCTAAGAACGCTGGCTGTTCTTGCAGAAGGTGTGGGTTTGAATGCCAGCACCCAAATGGCAGCTAACAACTGTCCGTAACTCCAGTTCCAGGGGATCCAACAGCCTCTTCTGTCCTCCACGGCCATTGCATGACACGGGTGTACTTACCTACATGCAGTCAATGCATGCATACACATAAAATAAAAATAATAAATTTTTTATTATTTAAGTTAATTATTATTTTGAGAAAAACATTTTCAAGTGCTATGTAATCAAGAATACTTGTCCGGTGTATATAAAGAACACAACGAAAGAGTGAAAGAGCAAACCAATTATAAAATAGGTGAAATTTTGAATAGACATTTCTCCAAATATAGGCAAGTAGCCAATAAATGAAAGTCACATGGTACCTCTTCCTATTTTCTCTAGAGGCTTAGTTTAAAAAGATGAACAAGGACCAGGGAGGTGGTTCAGCAGATAGAAGTGCTTATCACAGAAGCCTGACAACCTAGGTTCTATCCCAGGAATCTGATAACAAAGCCAGATGCCTCTCAGCACTCCTATGGTGAGATGGGGGATGAGGACAGGAGAACTGACCAGAAACTCAGGCGTCACCTAGCCTGGAGGACACAGCAAGGCTGAAATAAGAGAGACTCTGCCTCAACAAGGTGGAAGGAGAGAACGACTCCTGAAAGGAAAGCTGTCCTCTGACCTCCACATGAATGCTGTGCCATGAGCCTATCCTCACTCACAGATACGCACAATAATAGTATGCAAATAATTTTTTAGATGAAAAATAACAAGTGTTTGCAAAGATACCAGGGAAACTGAACCTTCATCTGCTGCTGCTGCAGGGACTGTGATGTGGTGCGGTCACTTTGGAGAACTGATACGGTTCTGCTACTCTGGGACACAGAAGTTCCCCTCCTGAATGTATACCTAAGAGAACTTAAAAACGTAACTCCATACATCTTCGTAGCAGCATTATTCAGAATAGACAAAACAGAAATGATTCAAATGTTCACTTACTGATCAATGTGTAAATAACATGTGGAACATTATTCAGCAATTAAAAAGAGAAAAGTACTACCACACAGATGAACCTGGAAAATGTGAAAGATGCCAAGTGCAAAAGGCCATACTTCATGCTTCTGCTTGTATGAAATGTCTAGAATAGGCATATCCATAGAGACAGAACAAAACAAACAATAAACACAAACAAACAAAAACCTCTAGCTACCAGGTGCTGGGGTGGAAGGGGAAGGAGAAAGGGAGTGACTGCCAGTAGGTTCAAGGTTTGTTTTCAGATAGATGAAGAAGTTCTGAAACTATATAGTGGTGATCAATGCACAACTTAGTGAATGTATTAAAAGCCACTAACATATACATTTTATAAGACAGGACTGGGGTTGGAGAGATGACCTGGTGGTTGAGAGCGCTGGCTGCTTCCGCAAAGGACCTGGGTTCAGTTCCCAGCACCCACATGCAGCTAACAACCATTTTTAACTTCAGTTCCAGGAGATTCAACACCTTTTTCTGGGCTCTGTGGGCATTGCGTGTACATGATACACTTACATATGTGCAAGCAAAACGCTCATACAAATTTAAAAAATTAAAAAGATGAGGCTGAGGAGCCTCATCTCAGTTGGTAAAATGCTTGCCATGCTAACATAAGGATCTGAGTTCAAGTCCCAGAACTTACATTAAAAAAAACAAAAAAACAAAATACGTATGGCAATGCGTGCTCATAATCCCAGCACTGGGGATATAGACACAGGTAGATCCCTGGGGCTTGCTGTGGGACCTCTGAGATGGGCTCTGCTTTTTCCTCTGGCAGAGGACACGGATGCCTACCCACTCCACCTCTGAACTGACTGGCATCTGCTACAGGTGGCTGGCAACGCCTTTGCCCTGGCTCTGCTCACTCACAGGGGTCTCCTTTTCCCACAGGGTGACTCTGGTGAGATGGGTTTCCCAGGAGTGGCTGGCCTCTTTGGACCTAAGGTACGGACTCTCTTTGCACTGTGCCCTCTGCCACTCATTCATCCATGGATTCACTTCATGGGCCTTCCCTGAGCTGCCTCTGTGTGGACCAGGAGCCAGCTGGAAGTGTGCTCAGCCCTCTGCTTCCTCCAGCACCCCTGAGTTAAATCCCAGCTCCACAGTTTACCTGCTCTGTACCTCAGATTCATCACTCCATCTAAGCTTGCTGTCCCAATGTGCAAAACGGACAGATAGCCAAGGATGGCTGCAAAAAATAAGACCGGGGCATACACCACATAGCACCCTGGTGGCACCTAGCCAGTACCCACCAAAGAATCAGAGGCCTTATTTCTCTTCCTAAGGCCTCTCGGATAAACCTAGAAGGGCACAAGCCAGAGCCAAGGGACAAGGGCACTGTTAGGTACTCTCCAGTAGCTACCTGGGGCACAACCCTTTCCTGCTTCCCACAGGGCCCCCCTGGAGACATCGGCTTCAAAGGCATTCAGGGCCCTCGGGGGCCTCCTGGCTTGATGGTAAGTGCCCTTTCTCTCTCTCAGCAGGGCAGTTGCCCCAGGTCTAAGGCCAGCCACCAGCTGTTTGGACACATGTCCTTTGTTCCTATTCCTCACTCTTGGAGCCTCCTCTGTCCACAATTGTTGCCAGCTTCATGCCCTTGCTCATGTCATCCCTGCAGGCTGCACTCCTCCCTCACTGCTCTAGTCCTTCCCTTATACCCCCCTTCCCCACTCTTGTGGCTCCCCCCAGCATGCAGGAGGGGCTCAGGAGATGCATGGCCCTGCTCAAGTGGGGGGCTCTCCCTTCCATTCCCTTGGGACACTCAGCTACCCTCCCCCTCTGTGACTCTGTTCCCCAGGCCCAGAACGAGGACTCATAGCCTCTCTCTTCTTTAGGGAAAGGAAGGCATCGTTGGGCCCCTTGGAATGCTGGGACCTTCTGGACTCCCGGTATGTGCAGTGGGAGGGCTGAGGGTCCCCTGCCCACTTGGCTCAAGTGCTTCATGATCTAACTAGTTTGAGCCTGTTTTCCCCTCTAGGAGATGGGACTTCCTCTCTGAGCCCTATCTCACTGCTGTGGTTTGTTGCAGGGTCCAAAGGGCGACAAAGGCAGCCGAGGGGAATGGGTGAGTGGATGGCCTGGTGGGCGGCACTGTGGGAGGTGAGCCACTGCTTGGCCCAGGTCTAACTCTTCCCTTGCTTCTGTCTCCAGGGACTGCAAGGCCCGAGGGTAAGTAGGCTGAGCGTGAAGATGGGGGCGCTGAGGACAGGGATGGGTGTCAGGTCCTTCCTACAGGGCCTGGTGTCCCCATACATTCTGTCCCTCTGGATCACAGTCATCCCCTCTGTACCCAACTATCCCAGTGGAACCTCATCCCTGGGTCTGGGACGGTCTGGGAGGGGAGCTGTCCAGCACTGACTATTTTCTCTTTCTTCCTGTAGGGTCCTCCTGGCCCGAGGGGACGGCCAGGGCCACCGGTAGGTAATGACATGGATATGCTGGGCATTTTAGATTCCCAGGACTGGAGGTGGGGTCCTCTAAATGAGACCAAGAATTTGCCCGCAGAATACACCCTGAGCTCCAGTCTCGCAGGCCTGGTGTGCTTCCTGTGGCCCACAGACTTTCAGCGAGGCAAAGAGCAGCCCCAGTCAGGACCTGTTGTACAATTCTTCTTGGGGAGATGGAAACCAACATCTATTGACCTCAGATAGGGCACCACTAGATGAAAGAGATGATGCCACCTGAGTTTAGCTTCATGAGCCAGTGTGTTTAGTGGGGTCACTTACAGGAGTGTGGGTGACTCAAAGGCAACAGCATCACTGAGAAGCCCCCCTAACATGGGTGATGGCTCCAGAAAGCTGTGCCCCTGGAACTCTCTGTCCAACTTGCAGGCAGCGTGGCTGATGGGAAAGTCTCCTTCCCAGCAATGTTCCTGCTTGTGTAACCTTGGGGAGGGAGTGGTCAGTCTCACAACTTCATGAGCTTCCTGTCCCCTGTAAGTTTTCTTAGCTTCTTGAGTCTTAAGGACCCCCTTCCCCTCCAGAAGGAAATGTTTCAGCTCAGAGGAAACAGCTAGCCAACAGGCCCACCAACCTGTATCCTGGCTGGCTTTCTGCTGCTGGCTAGCCCTTTCAAATCTCCACAACCCGAGCCTCCCACACGAGCTCCCATCAAACACTGACCCTGCACCTTCTTTTATAGGGTCCTCCTGTGCATCCTATCCAGTTTGTAAGTTGCATCCTATTCTCTTTGACCTCTTGGGCTGAGCCCTGGGTGGTGGGCCTGGGGGAAGCAGCCAAGCTCTCTCTGGGCTCGGTGACTGAATCGATATCTGGGCCTGAGGATGCCCATGTCCTCCTGTCCCCTTGCACTGGAGCCCTGGACACTGGAACTGCAGGAGGAGCCCTGAGCGAGAGATCTGAGAGTGAAGGGTTCTCCTAGCCCTGTCCCTGGCTGAGCCAGAGGAGCCAATGCTAACTCTGCCTCATTTTTATCCTCCACACACATGAGTTGGTACCTGTGTCCCTCCTCTCTAGACTTTGAAGGGCCTTATTGTTCCTTAATGGGCACTGCAGCCCTATCAGAGCTTGACCTCCTCTAGCCCAGAGACAAATGGGTCCCCATGTTACCTCCACACTGGTGAGCCCTGGATCTGACCCTGACGGTGTCTGGAGCATGGGTATGAGGAAGCTGGATGGAAAAGGAGCCCTAGGGCCATGAGACTCTCTGAGTGTATTCCCAGCTCAACCTCCCCCTCCCTCTGCACCGTCTATACTTATGGAATGCATGCCTGTCCTCGCCCCTTCCCTCCATCAGTAAGACAGGCACAGGAAGGAGAGTCGGGCAGAGCCCTTTCTTTGCAAGACATGGAAAAGGAACTGGCTTTGTGCTCTTTAAATCTGAGATTTGCCCAGCGCTTATCATGCTAAAGACACTGGGAAGTGGGTTGCCTAGGTGAGCAGGTGCATCCCACTTAGCAGTTCTGGAAGAAGGGAAGCAAGGTAGAGGTTGTGTGGCTGCTTCCCTCCCCCATGTGGTTGGAAGGTGCAGGCTGCAAGTTTTCCCACAGTTCCTCTCTGGACCCCAATCCCAAACCCCTTGTAGTGTTCTCCACAGACCAGCAGCTATGCCCCACCCAGTTGGGTCCCAGGGCTGAGGCCAGGCAAACCTGAGAACAGTTATAGTGCAAGGCATGGGGGTCTATCTGAGGGTGTGGGGGAGGGGCCTCACCAGCACGTGGACAAGAGCATCCACAGGCACCTCCCATCCCGGGACCAGTACAGAGCGCTGCAGACACTTGCCTGGCTTCCCTGGGAGCCACTGGCCTGCATGACCAGGAGAGTTAACAGCATTCCTCACTTCTAGATGCCAATACTGCCCCTTCCCTGCTCATAGCAATTACAATCACACCATCTTATGGGGCCCCGTGTCCCCTTGGGGAGCATTATCAGCCCCCCGAGTTGAGATAACCAGTTAGTGTGTCAGAGAAAGGGAGGCATTTCCTAGGGAATGGAAGCACATGTAAAGGTCCTGGGGCTGGATAGAGCAAGGCTTTTGGGAACTTGGAATTGTGTGTGCCTGTTGCTAGGGCATCTGTGGAAGGAACCAAGGCTGAAGAGCATGACAATCACACAGGGTTTCCTAACTATGCTGAGGAGTTTGAACTTAATCCTGAAGGCCCTGGGGATCGATTGAAGGACTTAGAGAGAGGGCGTGGCATGGTCAGCACTGACTCTCTGCAAGGGAAGGAATTCTGCAGAGGGCATGTGACTTGGTCAAGACTCTGTCATAGGAGGTAGGGTAGGAGTGAGAGGGTGGTGCTCGGACCCTGGGCTCCCACTTTTGGAACTTAGGGGTCCCTGAGATGACAGGATACACCCATTGTCTTTTCCCTGCTCAGCAGCAAGATGATCTTGGAGCAGCTTTCCAGACTTGGATGGACACCCACGGAGCAGTCAGATCAGAGGTACCACCAGGAGTTTTGCACGCATTGCCTGGGAGAGAGGGTGGCCATGGAGGTCAATGCTATCCCCGTGGCCAGCACCAAGTGTGTCAGAGCCCTTGTCTTAGTGACACCTCACAGTCCCAGATGAGAGTATTACTAGAGCTCTGATGGACAACCACAGTCCAAAGCCCCACAGCCTGAAGCAGACCCTACGCCCTTGTGTTACTTTAAAGGCTCCCAGGTCTGATCTATGGCTGGCTTGAGTTGGGAAAGGATGTTCACCAGGCTCTAGAGCCTGCAGTAGATTCCCAAAATCACCCAGGGCTTCTGCAGGAGCAGAAAGTGTATAGTCAGTCCCAAGCTGCTGCTGACGCCCAGCCTGTGGTTGACTCTGCTCTACGGCTCCAGGCTGAGAAGGGCCTGAGGTGTCCTCTAGTCCAGGCCATGTCAGGAGCCCCCTTTGTAGCCTTTCTTCTGTCCCATGATGGGGAGCTCACTGAAGCTCAGACCTATTCTGGGCTGCATTCCTGGTGGTTCCATGTGCTGGAGGCAGCAGCTCACAGTTCAGAAACAGGGAAGCATGACTGAGCTCCTAGCCATCTGTCTAGGGAGGTCAGCAGAGAGAGACAGGGCTGCTTGAGAGGCAGGGTGAACTTCCTTCCCCAGCTGAAGGGCTGTGGCATGTCCTGACCACAGGGAATGCACAACCCACAGCCATCCTTTATCTGTTAACATTGGAAACTGCACCGTGGATAGAGCACCTGCCACCCTGCTCCTTTCTGCCCTGTGCACCGTATCCTATCCATGGTGCAGAATTCAGATGTCTGATATATATCAAGGCTAACTGCTTAGTAATGAGAGACCCAGGCTGCCTGAGAGGGCTCTACCCTCCTCCTCACCCATTGGTGGTCCACAAGACTGGCCCCATCATGGGGAGGACCTGTGGTAGGATAGAATGTGGGCTGCCAGCTGCAGTGGAGTCTGGAGGGGTGGCAGCTCTCCAAACAGTGGGGTAGAGAGCATCTGAGAGTTACTGACACACAAACACACATGTTCATGTTTACACACTCATGGACACACATGGTTCTGCCACTTCCAGAGGGAAAAGTACTTGCTTAGCTCTATTTTGTAGTTCTGGCATCAAGTTCCATGTCACATTGAATGCCAGCAGATCAGGACCCCTGAAGACCCTACATCCCAGCATTTCACACCCTCAGACCTGCTTGTAGGTGAAATCCTGCTCCCAGGACTTGTGTTGCGCCCCCCTAAACCCCATCCTAGTGTTTTATAGGCACCCTCTTTCCCACCAGGGGAGTCAGCAGGCTCCTCCCCGCTCCTCCTCCTCTCCCTAGTATCTTGTGTGCCCTGCTTTCCTTATGGGTATAGCTCATGGCTGAGCTGGCTCCCCTCAACCAGCACCATCCCTGCAATGTTGTGTCCCTGACTCCTGTTTTGCTTATCTGTGACATGGAGTAAGCCAGCCTGGTCTCGCCAGGACCTGGGAGCACAATCTCCTAGGCAGTGCGGACTTGGCAATGTGTCTGGGGAAATAGGGCAGACCTAGGACTTAATGGGTTAATGGCCATGCCTCTTCTGTAACAGGGGTACAGCTATCCGGACCAGCTGGTGCTGGACCAGGGCGGGGAGGTCTTCAAAACCTTACACTACCTCAGCAACCTCATCCAAAGCATTAAGACACCCCTGGGAACCAAGGAGAATCCAGCCCGAGTCTGCCGGGACCTCATGGACTGTGAGCAGAGGATGGTGGATGGTAAGAGTGTCTGTAGAGCTAAGGAGGGCTTTCTGCCTGGGTCTGATGCAGTGTTTTATGGAAAAGTTTCAGGAGCTCAGACCAATGGGGTGTTGAATTCTTTGTGCATCTTGGCCATGTTCTGTCTTCAGGGAGACAGACATACAGCATCAGTTATTCATTCAACAAACAACCACTGGCCCTCAATCTGCTCAGCCTGTGTTTCAGGCTGTGAGGATACTCCACAGACACAGAGGTGTGGCCCCCCTCTGCCATAGCCCACGAAACCATAAAGAACCAACTATTTTAGGGGCACAGAGATAAGAGCTCTGCAGAAAAAATGCCTCCAAAGGCCAGGAGAACCCCAGTCCCAGGGACTTCCTGGGTGAGCAGGGGATCCCTACCTTCTAACTTGACTTCACCTCTCATCTGGGAGTTGGGGCATGGCATGGCATCATCCAACCCCCTCCCCTGCTCTGTACACAGAGCTGGGACTAGATGTGAACATCCCTTCCTCTGCTGCTGAGTCTTCAGCAGCCTGGAAGTTCAGCAGGGAAGCCGGGCATAGCAGAAGTACCTGGCTGTGAGTCAAGCCCTGAGCCCAGCTTCCTGAGCAGGTGCTGGGAGGAGCCCTGGGCCTTGAAGAAACTCTTCAAAGAGCTGAGGTCTGTGAAGACCTGTCATTTCTATAAAGTAGACACATCCCAGCAATAGCACACTGATGAGCCCTATCTAGAAGACACGCCTTCCTCCCTGTGTCTGGAGAGATCCTGTCTGCCTGTCTCACCCCCAGTTTCCTGCCCCATTGGAAGCCAGTGGGTCACAGATACAGGTCCTTCCACAGAACCCTCTCTGGACTCCTTCCTCATACGCACATCCCCACCCTGTTTTGCTGCAGGTACCTACTGGGTGGACCCCAACCTCGGCTGCTCCTCTGACACTATTGAAGTCTCCTGCAACTTCACACATGGTGGGCAGACATGTCTGAAACCCATCACGGCCTCCAAGGTACCACCTTCCCCCCACTTCCACCAGGCTTTGCCTACCCTGCCAAGTGCTGCCCTGAGCCCTGTCTGTGTTCCTCTAGTGCTGTGGAAAAGTGACTTCTTGAGATTTAATTATCTCAGCTAGAAGCTGGGGACAGATAGGATGAATGTGTGACTGGCAAACCCTCTCAAGTTGCTCAGCACTGAAAGTCCTACCTTCTCTTGGAATATTCTGCCTCAAACTGAAAGCAGAATAATTAGGCAAGGGGGCCTGGCTTGGAGAATCAATCATGAGTTGTTAGTATGACATGAGAAGATGTGTGTCTGGAACAAGTGCCACAGTTGTATATACAGTTATTAACTGATGTTCAGTGCCTGCTGGGCACATTTGTCCCTGGACTAAGCATTTGGGGAAGGGCCAGATGACTCAACAACAAACCAAGTGGACAGCAGCTATGGATATGGCCATTCCTCTGTGCAGGCTGCCCCTCCACGGCTCTGTGGTTCCAAAAGCCCCTCCATGTGTGAGGGAGGTGCCATGTTGAGAAGCTGTTCTGGCTGCAGGGGAGGTGGAGAGCCCCACCCCTTTGTGACCCATCTCGTCAGCCCCCTGTCTGGGAGTGGGACAGTGATAGTCTCACTCATCAGCCAGCTGCTCAACAAGTCTTTGCTGGCTTCCTGACCCCTAGCCAAGTGTGGGGAGGCCAGACCTACCACTGTTCCTGCAGCTGGAGTTGATGGTCCAGCACAGATGTAGTGAGTGGACCCCTTCTCTGGTGACTTGGAAGTTTTGGGGCCATGTAGTTAGCCTGCCAGGCAAAGGTGTAAGGGTTTATGTTGGCTCCTTCTGACAGTGGCTTCAGTCTCTGGTTGATTGGCTCTGGTTGGGTGAGGTAGGACATCATGTGTCATGGTAAGAACTTGTAGCAGAGCAAAGCTGCTTCATAGCTGTCAGGAAGCAAAAAGAAAGATAAGAAGAGGTTGGTCCTAACATCCCCTTCAAAGGCACACCCTCAATGATTTAACTTCCTCCTACTAAGCCCCACTTTCTGAAGGTTCCACCACCTCCTACCAACCCTCACCCTACAGCTCTTGGAACTCTGAGTCCTTTCTAGGCTGAGAAATCTCTCTCTCATTTCATCCACACTTACACTCTATTTGTGTAAGACTCTTGCCAGGCTCTCGACCCCATCATCCCTAAGACCTCCCAACTAGGAGAGCCTAGCAAGCAAACTGGAGCAGAACCAGCTCACCCAGAGCTCAGTTTCCCAGTTTTTCCAATGGGCAGATGACTGGGCACATAGGAAAGAGCTCACCTTGGTGCTCTCCATAAAAGGCGGGGATCTGAGGGCTGTGGGCACTGCTTCTCACCTGCATTTCCCAATAGGTGGAGTTTGCTGTCAGCCGGGTCCAAATGAATTTCTTGCACCTGCTCAGCTCCGAGGGAACACAGCACATCACAATCCACTGCCTGAACCTGACCGTGTGGCAGGAGGGCCCAGGGCACCCCTCTGCTAGGCAGGCTGTGCGCTTCCGGGCCTGGAATGGGCAAGTCTTTGAAGCTGGGGGTCAGTTCAGGCCAGAGGTATCTATGGATGGCTGCAAGGTAACTGTTAGCTCCCCTCATTGTCCTTTGACACAAGGACAGTAGGAGAAACTTGCGTGGTTTTATAAGATGATATAATTTTATACTCTATCATGTACAATTTTTATCAACATGTGATAATCTCGTTAGAGCAGTTCATTTAATAGCATGGATTTTATTAACTTTCCTCTCTAGGCACTGTGTGTGTGTGTGTGTGTGTGTGTGTGTGTGTGTGTGTATGTGGGGGGGGGTTGAACCCAGGGTCTCAAATACACTAGACAAACACTCTACTCCTGAGCCACATCCCTAGCCTGTCCTCTCCTCTCTGGGAACCTAAGGGGCAGCATGGTGAGTTGGTAAAGTGCTTCAGGTTAGTAGATAGTTCTTATTTGCAAGGTTTCTTTAAAGGAGCATCTGTCCTCTAGCCCCATCTCACTCAAGCTAATTTCTTTCTTCTCTTAACACTTTTTATCATTTTAAAATGCCTTAGACAGGGTGAAATCTAAGAGGCAGAGGAGGCAGAAAGTCACAAAAAGGGAAAAATGATTTTCATAAAATTAAAAGAAACTAATACTACACAGTGTCAGTGAGGATGTGGGGAAAGTGGCTCCCCCATATAAAGCTACTGGGGGGGGGGAAGGTGGAGAACAGCTGTGTGTAAATATATAACCAAATATGTATCCAAGAAGAGTTCCTGCCCTTGTGTCTGGCAATTTTACTTCTAGAATTTGTTCATGAGAAATAACTAAGAATGCACCCAAAAGTTAAATTACAATGGACTTCATCCACTATTGTAATGAAAATAAAAACCAACACAAACTCAAGGCTGGAAACAGGAGTCCAAGGCAAGCCCGAGCTATATGAGACCCTGTCTCAAAAACCCAACCAACCATTTAAATAACCCCCCAAAACAAAAACAAACCAAAAAAAAAAAGAGGTTAAGAGAGATGGTCGATGGTTAAGTACACTTGCTGCTCTTGAAGTGGGCTAGAGTTTGGTTCCCAGCACCCAGGTCAGGTGACTCACAGCTACTTGTAACTCTAGCTCCAGGAGATCTGGTACCTTCTACCCTCCACAGGCACCTGCATTCACATGTACAGACACATTAAAATTAAAATAAGGGGTGGAGAGATGGCTCAGCAGTTAAGAGCACTGACTGCTCTTGCAGAAGACATGGGTTCAGTTCCCAGCACCTGTGGCTTGCAAACCATCTGTAACTCCAGTTCCAGTGGATCTGACACCCTCTCCTGGCATCCATAGGCATTGCACACATGTGGTTCACATACATACATGCAGGCAAAACTCTCATACACATAAAATAATAAAAAACTTTTTAAAAATTAAAAATATTAAAAATCAGTATAAACCCTGTAAGGCATAAAATTGAATGAGTTTTTAACCTTTAAAGACCTCCATTTCAAAAAATGAAGGAATATCTTTAAATGAGGTCACCAACCCAGTCATGTGAACATAGGTCATTGCTGGTGTGAAAGCAAGATGGATGCTGGGAAAAATGCAAGAACCATGTTCACTGTCATCCTCCCACCCATCCACAGGTCCATGATGGCCGCTGGCACCAGACACTGTTCACCTTCCGAACCCAGGACCCACAGCAGCTGCCCATCGTCAGCGTGGACAACCTCCCGCCTGCCTCATCAGGAAAGCAGTACCGCCTCGAAGTTGGACCTGCATGCTTTCTCTGACCTTTGACCTCTGGGCTCCTCTAGGCTTTGTGAAGGAGGGAAGAAGAGAGGCCACCTGGTCCCAGGAGAGGCAGCCACCTGCCTTAGGGCCCTTGTGCAGGCCCCAGATGCTGTCTGCTCAACAGGGGTTGGGCGGGGTAAGAATCAAGACTCTGGCTGTCCTTGGGAACCACCAATCCCAGCTTAGTCCCAAAGACCAACTAAAGAGCCAGCCAGAACAAGCTAGGCCTACAACCCATCCCAGCCCTTGGCCTATGGCCCAGCCCTGCGGACACCCCCTCCTTCCCTGGCTTCCTGCCCAAAGAGCCCCACACTGAAGCCACCTTGAGGGAAGGGGACATGGTGTCAGCTGGACCCTGCCAGGCAGTTTTGATGTGCAATATTAGAAAGGAGACATGGGGGAAAAAAGGAAAGAAAAAAGTCTATCTATATATTATTTAAACAAGCAAAGAGAAGATGTGTTTCTGACTTTTCACCTGGGAAGGGTGAAGATGAGCAAGAACAACAGCTGGGGGTGTGGAGAGGCAGACCCCTGGGCTGGGGTCATGACCCTGGGCTGGGGTACATGGGCTACCTCCCACTGTGAAATCGCTGGTGCTCATAATTGTCTCTCATAGTGTATGTGATTTTTTTAAGGGAAAAAGAAAAAAACCTTATTTAAGATTCTAAAGGTGCTACTATTTTTTTTTTTTTTTTTTTACCATGGACTTTGAAGAAACTTTTTTGAGTGATGCCTTGTCCACACATCTCTCTATCCTCCAAATGGGGAAGTTAAAAAATGTTACTGTCATCATCCCTGTAGTCTGCTGAGGAGGGAAAAAAAAAAGAAAAGAAAAAATGAAAAAGGAAAAAAAAAAAGAAAAAAGGACAAATCCTTTCTGAAACCAAAAGTAGATTTCCCACTAATTATGGACTTGGGAGTATTAGAGGAAGCGTTTAACTGCCTTGGTCCTAGATGGGTCTAGGTCCCCCTTACAGGATCTGCCCTAGAGTAGTCCTGGGAGAAAAAGCGATTTCCAAAGGCATCAGGTCCAGGCTGGCCTGGAAGGTGGGCTGTGAATACAGAGCATCTCTGAAGCCAGGTGACATGTCCTTGAGGTGCAGTGACCCTGTTTTCTCACATCACAGCTCTGTAGAATCCCACCATCCTTTCCCTCAAGTGCCAATTTGGGCAGAGGAGGATGGAACAGTTTTATGGGTACCTCAGGGGTCTCCACAATGGTGACCTTTCATTCGACCTGAATCATAAACAAGTCGGGACCCCAATTGGAATTTGAAGTTATTTTAACTATGGGATTATTTTTATAGAAGGAAGATTTATGTCGAAGTCTCTATTTGTGTTTCTAAAGTTGTGTCTGGTGGGGAATTGAATTTTCTTTCCATTATTTAATACCTCACTCTGGCCCATCCTCCCCCCCATGTCTTCTGTGTCCACCCACCTGTCCCCCAGCCTGGATGTGCATGTTTGTCACTTGGTCCTCATCTTTGCTCGGTTTCCTGTTTCTGCCCTCTGCATCCCCTTCCAGCCTCCCTCTTGTCTCTTGATGCGTATTCACTGTCCTTTGTTTCTGTCAAAATGTCTGTGTTCAAACCCCAATGGGTTCTGTTTCTCCTGTTCCATTCCAGACTTTAAATAAATATTTAAAACAGGCAACGGAAGGACAGTCTGTGGTCTGATGCTTCTTCACAAAGCTTACAAGGGCAGTTTCCAGTGGGTCACGGTGGGAAGATGCACAGAGGTTGCCCTGTTTAGGCAGTGACTCCTGCTGGTGTCTGGGGCTTAGGGCAACAAGGGTGACAAACAGTGGATACTGATGTGTAGATGGAGCTATTCTGCCTCCAAGCCCCTAAGCCAGGAGCTGTCCTGGCCCCTCCCAGCCTCTCAGCCGTACTCCCCACACATCCTGGGGATGGAACCCAAGACCTTGAACATGTGTTGAATCATGCATCAGTCCTTCATTCATTTTGATGGTGATCTTGATTTCATTGTATTATTCTGTATCAATACACCAGTGTGTAAGAGCTGACCACGGGGGCCTTGAAAGCAAAGAAAGAGGCTGACAGATTGGGACTGTATAGGGCACAACTGGGGACCCACTACAAAAGGGTGGTCCTGGATACAGCAAGACTGAGTGGATCACTGAAAATTTGGGTCAGAAGGAAGGGCACATTCCTTGCACAAGGGTCTGCTTTTAAAGCTCCATGTACTGGGGCTGGGGAGAAGGCTCAGTCAGTAAAGTGCTTGCCACGCAAGTGTGAGGACCTGAGTTCGATCCCCAGAACCCATGTAAGAATTCAGATGTGATGACACACACTTGTAATCCTAGCAAAAGGGACATCGAGACAGGATGATCCCTGAGGCTTCTAGCCTATCAGCCTAGCCAAATGAATTAGCTCCAGGTTTAGTGTGAGACCCTGTCTCAAAAATAAGATTGACAGCTCCCGAGGAACAACACCTGAGGCTGATCTCTGGCCTCCACATGCATGCACATATACATGTACATACACACTCAAGCACAGATGCATGAACATGCACATACATATGCATGCACACACATATACATAGAAGCTCCACGTAACATTCTACTAGTTTTGCCTATTTATAGTTTACTGGGAAACAGTGAGGAAGACAGAAGAGAGTCACCCAAAACAGTTATGGTGGGTACAACTCAAGATGGCTGTCCTCGCACGAAGCCAAAGCCACACTGTATGAAGCGATTAGACATTATCTGTTCATCAGTTGAGGGACATCTGGACTTTGTCCCCTTGCTGGCTAATGTGAATAATGTTTCTGTATGAGAAGTTCGTGTCTGAAGAGAAGTCATGGCCACACCTGCCTCTGAAAAGGCATGAGGCAAAGTCCGAGGCTGCAGAAACAGCGACACAGGTTAGGGAGCAGAAGCACTTGCCACAAGACTGGTGATGACGTGAGTTCAGGCGGAACCCATGGTAGGAGGGACCCAACTCTCGAAAGTTGTCCTCTGACCTCCACATACAAGGTGGCATGGAGAGAGAGAGAGAGAGAGAGAGAGAGAGAGAGAGAGAGAAACATTGAGAGAGAGAAACTAATGAAGTTTGAGGCTGCCAGTTTAGACAAATAATTATTATTGATGCCCAGATAAATTTTACTTTCAGATAAGCAATACATATGTTGTCTAAGTATGCCATATGAGTGATATACTTAAACTAGAAGACAGCTGTTGGTCTGAAGGCTAAATGCGTGTGTTGGGAACCTACATCTCCTGACTCTTCACTTTTCTTCACCTCGGAATTTCTCTGCCTTTCTTACATTGGAGAGAACAAATCACCAACAATTTCATTCATACAAGGGGTTTGGTGCTTCCAACCGCAGTAAGTTTTCAGGGTATCAGGGTATCAGTCCTGGTTTCCCCCCTTCCCCAGCACCCTACCTCCCAGAGAGCAAGCCCCAGAACCACCCGGGGCTAGCCTCAAGAGCTACTCAGAGCCAGGACACATGGACTGGAAGGGCATGGGGAGCCCCACATCGAAGGCACACCCTCCAATCAGTCTTGTACAGAGGACAACTGAGGCCTGAGGAAGAGCCCGAGGTCCTGGGGAGGCCAAGGTAAAGCCAAGATTCAACCCCAGACAGTTAGATAAATTCCCAGCTTCACTCCAAATATCTGAACCCCAAAGCCCAAGGGTAGGGCTCAGCAATCTAGTGTCTTTTAGTTCTCCTTGGAGAGTCCCAAGAACCACAGAACTGCACATTGTTTTAAAGACTAGAAAATGACTTTCTAGCACTGGAATAAAAGAGAAAACATGAAGCTTTAGAGATAAGAACGATTCATTTCTCTGGTAATCAGGTCCTACCTCCTTTCACGATGTTAGGACCAAGTCCCTGGCAGAAGCAGTTTAAGGGAGGAAAGGTTTATTTGGGTTCACAGCTTCAGCCCACCATGGTACACAGGGCGCAGCAGAGTTCAGTGGAGGCAGAAGTGAGCGTATGGCTGAACTCCTGACATCTCGGCCAACCAAGAAGCAGATAGCACAGGCCAGTATCAGGGACGGGGACCACCTCCAGACCAGACCCCAGTGCCCCACTTGTGCTAGCTAACCCACAGCCCCAAGAGTTCCTCAGTTTCCCCACACAGTGCCACCAGCTGGGGACCAAGTATTAGGAAACAGGAGTCTGAGGAGGACATTTCACATTCAAGCCCTAACAATGGGAAATGACATTGGAGCCAGAGGCACCAGAACCATTTCTGGAAGTCTTTTAGATACTGTCATGCCCAGTTTGCCCAATGGTTTGAGTCACTTCCAGTTTCACAGGTGGGAAGGTTATTATGTATTTGTCTATTTCTCCATGGGAAGGTCCCAGGTTGCAAAGGACCCATATGTTCCCTTGAAGTCACAGAAGAGAGCTCAGGAAATGCTGTGAACTTGATCATTGCTTCTTCCTAGGCCTTGCCTCCTCTTCATCTCCCTCACCAGTTTGTTGAGCAACTTCTCTGTGCTGAAGACCCAGGTGGATGGGAATCTGCATGATTTTGGATCTGAGGATGCAGCTATATGGGGGGACTGCACTGGGCTCCCGGGAGTGGGGTGCGCTCACTCCCTGTGGATCCGCAGACTGCTCTGGGAAGCGGCGGCTCCGGAGCGGTACAGCGGGTCCGCAGACTTCTCTGGGAAGCTGCGGCTCCGGGAGCGGCGTCAGGTGCCCTGCAGGCTTTCCCTGCGGCTGCTTCGGGTCCTGAGTCTCTGGTGCTGGCGACAGCTGGTGGCTGCCGCAACTTCTCTGATGCTGAGAGCTTACCCTGCTACTGGAGCATTGTCCAGCCGGAATCCCGTCTCTATTCCACCCGTGTACTCTTCCTCCGGATGCGAGGCTCCTGGCCACTGAACCACGCAGGGAAGGAGTACGGAGACTGCGAAAGCTAGTGTGTGTCCGTGGGTCGGTAACGGAGAGTGCTGCCCTCAGGGGGGATTAGGTCGCATGGTCGCCGGTACACAAGACTCAAGGCTCGGCTCAGTCTGTGCTTACAGCTTAATTCTCTCTGGGACCCAATCTCTGACCCTATCTCCCACTATTAAGAGAAGGCTAGGATATTTTATACCATGGGGGTAGTGGTAAAAGCTTTGGCTGTTAGATGCTTTGTGAGGCATTCTATTTACATGTGGAAGTGGATTTCTGCCACACTGCTAGACTGCTGGCCGCCTGGAAAAATCACACAGGAAGGCATGGTCTGCTTAGAGCCAGAGGCCATGTTTATGTCAGGGCATTTGTGGCGGCCACTTCAAAGGGAGAGTCAGGAAAGATGTCAGGAAGACATCTTGCTATGAAAGGAGCCCGCAGCACATAACCCGAGCTACATGAGCTGTCCGGTGTGAAGGGACTTCCACTTTGTGTAACAGAGGTCTCCAACACAGCTAGAGGGGCCAACCTTGCCCATTCTCATGTCCAGAAGAGCCATTCACTTCTTGGGGACTGTAGGGCAGGGGCAGGGAGGCCTAGGGCACCAAGCAACAGAAGCAGTAGATTTGTTCAAAACAGGAGCTTGGGTCAGCCAGTGGGTTCCACCTGTTATGGGTTCCTGGAGACAAGCTATACAGGTGGCCAAAGACAGAGGTTAGCCCAGAAGTCAGAGATTCTGAGGTGTCAGCTTTGCAGATATGAAGACATGACGAGAACCAAGAAGGACCAGAGAGGAAGAGAAGAGGATGCTTATGATTTTGTCTGGTCCAGATTCATCTCCCCTTGTGACCTGGTCAGTGAAGATCCTCAAACTGAGCCAGTTTATCCCCTGAGGAGAAGGTGGCAGCTCTCCCTAAACTGGCAGTGCCTGGCCTTCCCAATCCCTCATTGCACAATCCAGGAGTCAGGAAGCAGTTAGGACAGTCCCTGGCAGAAATGGCTTGGCTCCAGGGGAAAGTCCAGGCCTGCCTGTGTTTGTTTTGTCCACAGTGCCATAAGCCTAGCCAAGGCCAGCCCACCCACATGACTAGCACTAGGTGAGAAAGTGGGGGGGGGGCAGACAAAGACACTGGAGGTGGATCCTGGCCCAGTTTCTTAATTGGGGTGGGGTCTTGGGAAGGGCCTCAGTTTCTCTCTCTACACAATGAGAACTCTATGTTCTGTGCTGCCTGACAGTCAAGAATGGGGCTATTGTTCCACAACAGCAGGGTAAAACATGAGCAATAGATTAATAGTTAACTGCTGGTGATTGTGCTCTGTGGAGACCAGAGATCAACATCAGGTGTCCTTCCTCAGGAGTGGTCCATCTTTTTTTATTCAGGGTCTCTCATTTGATCTAGAACTCACAAAATAGGTCATCCTAGCTGGCCAGCAGACCCTATGACCTGCCTGTCTCTGGCCTTCCAGGGCCCACATGACAAGCATGTGTTACTATGCCTAGCTTTTTTTATGGGTTCTTGGGATCAAATTCATGTCCTCATGCAGGGTAAGCACTTTACCTAAGGAGCTATCTCCTCAGCCCTGCTCTTTGATGTATAGAGACTAGTTACATATGCTTCAAGTCAAGGAACAGCACTATTCACCCCCACAGTGGCTGTGGTTCCTGTGTGCTGGCCACACCCCCCTGCACCAATGCAAAGCATGATGGTGCTTTCATTTCATGCATGGTTTGCAGGATCTGAACATACTGTGACTGACTTTCAGACAAAGGAATTGAAGTCCAAAGATTTTGCATCCTACATTGCCCAAGATCACCTAACAGAACTCGAACTTGAGTTAATGGTCTTTGATATATTTCCTCAACCCTGACTTGTAGTTGGTAAGAAGGACCAGGGAATCCCCTTTGTTGTCCTTGTAACTATTGCTGCAGAGGGAGGCAGACGACTGTTCCTCACACTCAAATGTACAATGGCTTGAGTTCTGCTGCTGTGTGGCCTTCCCTTGGGTTACTTCACCTCTCTGAGCCATGTGTTGCCTCCTCTATACAATGGGGGAGTAATCTATTTTCTTAAGCCTATAATAGGCATGTATTTTGCACTTTGGTGCCTTTAGAAGATAGAATATAACCTGTGATGACTAAATGATAGAAGTAGGCCTAAGGCTGGCTTTCTTTCCTGCCCACCAGAGTGACACTGAACTGAAGGTGAAGGCTGCTGTCAATAGACTGGAGAAGAAAGTTTGTTTGAGTTGACAAGCATTGCACAACTAGGAACTGATGGACTCTTCATAACAACCCAAGAAAGTCAGTGTGGTTATCTTTGTTTGACAAATGGAGATATCAAAGCACAGAGAAGTTAAGGTCACACAGCTAGCAAAGTAGAAGAGCCAAACCCGTGCTTCACTGCTCTCTTCAACTGGCCTAGGCAGTTTCCTCTCTCTTTCTCACACACTTTGCCATTGTGCCCAGGCCAGATGGAACAACAGGTTACAAAGGACAAGAACTTCGTTAGATAAGGCAGTCAAGCATTCCACATGGGTGGGTACTGGGTATTGGGTATGCTTGCAGAAACTGCTTGGACAGCTATGTGGGTAGAGAGTGAGACCCCAGGGGTAGCCTGAGTGATTATGAGGGCCAGCAGGGACTACATGCCCTTTATGATATCTTACAGTCTGAGGTCTGAGGACTTATGGTCAATCCTTGCCTCCCACAAGCCACCCCTTGGATTTCTGCCCATGAACAAATGGAGACCCACAGACCAGTGATCTAAAGACCTTCATGTTGTAAAGCAGAAAGAGGTTTGGTTGTCAGTGTCCAGAACCCCATTGAGGTAGGATGTGTGTCCTTGGCTGAGAGGTGATGTGAGTAATGGGCCATTCCAAGTTGGTTCTCAGTCACCTTATGTGCCCATGGCAGATACTGCCTGGCTTCAACTTGGGAACATTTCCACAGTCAAAGGTTGTGAGAAGATGGACTTTTGTCATTACAGGAAACAAGAGCTGATGGTATAAGTGTTGTATTCAGGTCGAGAAGGAACTGGAGTGGGAGTGTTGCATTCATGCCAAGAAGGAACTAGAGTGGGGCTCACTGATCTCTCTTAACTCAAGGTCCTCAAATCTTCCCTGTACCCTGAAGCCTCATGTCTCTTGTGGTAGCCACACATAAGCCACAAAGCTCAGGAGCATTGGGATACAGTGGCCTGTAGGTTCAGCGTAGTGTCCCAGATGTAAGGAATCACTTCTATGGGGCCTAGGCTGTATTGGCTGTGAGAGAGGATGTTTAAGCTATGGGATGCTAGGTATCAGATACCAACAGATAGATGAGCTTAAGTGTTAGTTAATAAATTCATGAGAGAGACATTAGTTTCCAGCTTGACAAGGATATGGAAAAGGTTCCTCTAGTGTGTTGCTAAATTGGGGTGGAACTCATCATCTCAGTGCTTTAGGGTTTGTCCTGGTTTTGTTTTCTCTGAGAGGAAATCAACGTTCTCAAGTTAGAATAAATCAAATACAACACATACCTTTTGGGTGTCTAGTTCAGTGAGATTTCCCAGGCGTGCACTTGTGTGGCTCCTCACCAGTAGATACCCTGAACACCACTGAAGGGCACCCCCAAGACCTTCCTCTGCTCCCCTCTTTTGAAGCCACTGACCTGATTTCTATCATTCCAGATTATTCAGGAGTGTTCTAGAACTTCTTATAAACAGATTCATACAGTCCTGCCTCTGGGAAATCTGAGTGCCTTTGACTGGGTACAACATTTTTTTTGAGCTTCCATTCCTATTGTCATGTCTATCAGTACTTCATCTCTCTCTCTGTTGCTAAGCAACACTCTTTGTATGAAACGTCACAATCCATTTCCCATTTTCCTGGTGATGGGCAGTTAATAGATTGGTGTTCAGGGCTACTTTGAATAATGCTGCTAGGAACATTCACACACGTGATACTGTATGTGACAGGTTTTTCTCTCTGTTGGACAGTATGGTAATTTTACAAGGTAATTTGTTGCTCTGATATAAGAAGAAAAAAATATAATACAGAATGACATAGATAAAAAGAAAGAGTCTCACAAAGTTAGAACAGAGTAAATGAATGGCAAGTTATACATCATTAAAACCCTAACTCGGGACTGCACTGAAATAGGAAAATGTATGCATCATATAGGAAATAGAAAGAATACAGAGCTGTGAATAAACCCCATAGTAATATGTTCTGTTGTGTCTTTTTTTTTTTTTTTTTTTTTTTTTTTTTTTGGCTTTTTGAGACAGGGTCTCCCTGTAGCCATAGCTGGCCTGGATTCGCTATGGAGACCAGCAAGCTGGCCTCAAACTCACAGAGATCCGCCTGCCTCTGCCTCCCAAGTGCTGGGATTAAAGATGTGTACCACCACGCCTGGCTATATGTTGTTTTTTTTTTTTTTTTTTTTTTTTTTTTTTTTTTTTAAGTGTATGAGTGTTTTGCCTGTATGCATCTAAGTGCCCCATGTGCATGCAATGCTGGTGGAAGCCAGAAGAGGGGTCAGGTTCCCTGGAGCTGGCAGTTATTAGCTGCCATGTGGATTCTGGGAAATTAACCCAGGTCCTCTGTAAGAGCAGCCAGTGCTCTTAACTGCTGAGCCATCTCTCCAGTCCCATGTCGTTGCTTTGAAACAGGATCTCACTATGTAGCCCAGGCTGGCCTCAAGCCCTCAGCACGTCTTCCGCCTCAGTGTGAGCCACCATGCCTGGCCATAACAATAATTTTAGAGTGTTCATTCATGTTAATAAATATCTGGCCCCATCTGAAACCCAGAGGACTATTCATTTGTGCTGGGCACTGATCCCAATGAGGAATGTACTGCCGGAAAGAGGTAAGGTCTCTGCTGATGGCAGGTGGCAGGTGGGGTGTTACTGGCAAACCTTTTCATTTTATGGTTTAGCTACTGGGAGACACTCAAGTCACAGATTTGCCAAACTAAACATTCAACTTAGATGTTCCTTGTTAGACACGTGTCTGCCTCCAGGGCTGGGTAGAACCCTGGATGCTTCATGCTCATTGGCATCAAATTCATTTTCACTCCCGGCCTCCCTAAGTGTCTCCCAAGTTCACTCCCAATCCCACAGTGCCTTCAAGGTTTATTGTGGCTGTGCCCCACTCCCATGGGACAGTTCCATGGGACAGGAAATGGATGGGATTTCTGGCTGGGGGCCTATATTGAAATCTATGGAGGGTTACATGTTAAGTGTTAACAGGCTAGTCTCAGACCCACCTTGACTTTGAGTCAACCCAACTCTGGTTTTTCTATCAGCTCCAGGGCAGGGGCCTCTGTCAGGGATGGCCTTGAGGTCTGCACTTGAAACTGGTTTCAGAGAAGGTTTTGCACAAAATCTTTCCCAAGTGCTGGGAGAATTGTGACACAATTGTGCAGTCCCTGGCTTGACTCCCATGCCCTGCCCACATCTTGTTATAAAGGTCACTGCACCCTCCAGCCACCAGCTCTACCTGGTTCCAGGTATCTCTGTCAGCATGGCGCTACCCCAGATGCTCATCATCCTGAGCCTCCTGCCACTGCTGGAGGCCCAGAACCCAGCACATGCAAACATCACAGAAATACCTATCACTAACGCCACCCTGGACTGGGTGAGTACCTGCCCTGGACCTGGCCCTGAGTGCTGTAAATGACTGTCTCCCCGCTGGGCTTTTCCTTCTCCACATGGCTGTGCCCAGCCTTGGCTCTTGGCTCTGTCTTTTCCTCTTCTGAGTCACAGGGTGAAACTAAGCACCCGGCGACTCTGGTGGCCCCCCCCGACCCCAAACTCAGAAGCACCACACTGAGGCCCCCAAGCAGGGGACAGCAGGAATGGCTGATTCTGAGCTGATGTGTGTCCACCTCCTGCCTGGGGCTTCAGTTTCTCCATTTGTGGCACAGAGGGGTCACTTGCCTGCGGCCCCATTACTGGGGACTGCTGAGGTCTACAAACCCTGCTCACCTGTGGGCCTGCCTCTCTCTCCAGCTCTCCGGCAAATGGTTTTTCATTGGCTCGGCCCATCACAACCCCGAGTACAAGCAGGCAGTTCTGAAGATCCAGGCAGATTTTTTTCACTTTGCTCCCAACCTGACAGAGGACACCATACTGGTTCGAGAGTACCAGACCATGTGAGTCCCTGCCCTGGTGCTAGCCTCCATTCCTGGATGCTGGGACACCTCCAGTGATCCCTGCCTCCTCCTGGTCCTTCCCTATCCCCCACCACCAAGGCATGGAGACAGTTGCCTGTTCTCTCTCCTGCCTCTTGCCCCAGTGCTGTGCTGGGTGACAGTCACCTCTCTTGACTGACCATCTCTCTCTCTCTTTGTGTCCCACTTTCTGTCTGCCTTTAGAGAGGACCGGTGTGTCTATAACTCCACTCTGCTGCAGGTGCAGAGAGAGAATGGAACCCTTTCCAAATTCGGTGAGGACCAGCACTCAGGTGGAAGGTCCACCTGTGAAAGGGTCTGCCTGTGGAAGGGGCTGGGCTACTTCTGGGAAGAGGGAGGGATAAGACTGTGGAGGCTGTGGTCACAGAGGGCACAGAGATGACCACCAAAACCTGAGCATTCTTGCTATGTGCTCAGCACCATTTGAAATGCTTTACCTGAACTTACCTGATTTCTGAGATGGGTGTCATAGGGATCAGATGAGGACACAGAAAAACAAGAAGTTGTTTCCTAAGGTGACACAGCTTGTAATTAGAACTAGAATTCAATCTATCATCTCACTGTAGATCAGTCTCTCTTTTAAATACTCTTTAAGTCCTCCATGAGCTGAGGGTGGGAGCCCATGGGTTGGGCCTCCAGTGACTTACCCATGCCCCTTGTCACCAGGGACAGCACATAGCAAAACCACACAAATGCCAATGGGCCTGATCAGATACCACTTAGCAGCCCCGAGGCTTCTCTACAAGACTCATCCCCCTCACCTGTGAAATGGGGACAGAGGTCTTGACAGCCACCATCCACATGAGGCTCCTGTCATCCCATATCCTTGGACTACTCAGCCTGGGGCTTGGCATATAGCAGCCTAGGGGGCCCCAAGCATTTGTTCATAGCTGTGGGTTCCCTGATCTTCAGAATGAAGAGCACTGCACCAGCCCATCCACTCACAGAGCCCTTCCTCCCGCAGAGTCGGGCAGAGAACACTTCGCCAAGCTGAAGCTGCTCAGGAAGTACAGGGCCTTCATGCTTGCCTTTGCCCTGGAGGATGAGAAGAACCGGGGGCTGTCCTTCTATGGTAGGCTCCCTGCAGCCCTGAGCCCCAGCTCTGCTCAGTGTCTCCTGCAGTCCCTCATCCCCAACCTTGCCTGGTTTCCCATGTACTGAACTTTTACCCCACCTTCCGTTCCCTGTTGCAGCTGACAAGCCAGATGTTACCCCAGAGCTTCTGAAAGTATACCAGGAGACTGCCAAAAGTGTGGGCATAGATGAGTCAGAAATCACATACATTGACTGGAAAAAGGTAAACAAAGGGAATAGATAGTACCACCCTGGAAGTGGTCCCATTTGGGGCAACCCCAGAGGTCCAGAAAGGGCAAGCTGCTGGCTAAGGCTGCATAGAACTGGTCTCCCTGCAGAGACAGCTGAATTCCCAGAAACTTGGTTTGGGGGAGAGTGGTCGATTCCAGAAAGTTCAGAGAGGATGTGGGGGGAGGGGAGGGAAGGATTAGAAAGGACCACTAAAAGAATAGCTGGATTCAAGGTCCCAGATTTTTCCCTACCTCTCTTTTTTACCATCTGCACAAGGGTTGTGGTTTTCTGTCACCCAAACTGCAGTAAGCCCTTTGGTTATAGGCAAGGATGGCCTGCGTGGATGGATGGATGGATGGATGGATGGATGGATGGATGGATGGATGTCTTCCTGATGCTGCCCCCTAATTCTGTGCTGAGGGGAAAGTCACCATTCCCCTGCCACCTTGTCTTAGTGGAGGTTGCAGGATCAGCTGATGATCTGGCACCTGATTTGAGAGACATGGGACACTTTCACGACTATTAGAATAAAGTGCCTTTATAAAGAGCCCTTCCTGACACCACCAGTCCTGGGGTTCCAGGGAGAGAGGGCATGAACATGGATGGATGGATGGATGGATGGATGGATGGATGGATGGATGGATGTCTTCCTGATGCTGCCCTCTAATTCTGTGCTGAGGGGAAAGTCACCATTCCCCTACCACCTTGTCTTAGTGGAGATTGCAGGATCAGCTGATGATCTGGCACCTGATTTGAGAGACATGGAACACTTTCACGACTATTAGAATAAAGTGCCTTTATAAAGAGCCCTTCCTGACACCACCAGTCCTGGGGTTCCAGGGAGAGAGGGCATGAACAGCCTCTAGAGCTGAGCCACCAGTCCTGGGCCTGCCTCCTGGGCATCAGCCACCCACCTGAGCTCAGCTGCTTCTTCTGCACAACAGTGCTACAACAGGCTCAGCCTGGGGCCTCTGGCAGAGTGTTCAGAAAACACCTGCCACTATGGGGATGGTTGTGCTCCCTCTAAAGGTATGAATAAGCTGAGGCTCAGAGAAAGTCCTAGGCTCTTCAGGGAGGCCTTTGGAGAGCTGGTTGACAAACCCTGGTCTTCTCCTGTCAATCACTGTGCATTTATTTATTTATTTATTTATTTATTTATTTATGCCTCTGCCTCCCAAGTGCTGGGATTAAAGGTGTGTGCCACCACCCCCGGCCTGTGCTTTTATTTTTAAAAATACTTCATTTATGTGTGTGCGTGCGTGTGTGCGTGCGTGTGTGCGTGCGTGTGTGCTCTGCCTGCCTCTGCCTCCCAAGTGCTGGGATTAAAGGCATGCGCTACCACCCCCGGCCTGTGCTTTTATTTTTAAAAATACTTCATCTATGTGTGTGCGTGCGTGTGTGCGTGCGTGTGTGCGTGCGTGTGTGCATGTGTGTGTGTGTGTGTGTGTGTGTGTGTGTGTGTGTGTAGAT